TTGTTTTAGGAAATAGTAGACGCTCTAGCAAGAGAAGTAGTAGAATATTTCTTGCAGAAAAATGATTTGACGGCAGAAGATTGGACTACAGCAACAAAGAATGAGGAGCTTGGGACATTTTTTTCCCCTCTTCACAAGTTCGTTAAGAAGGACCAAATTGCAAACCAATCTTCGGAAAGATCAGCTGCACGAAACCCACCGGATGGACAAAACCCATCGAATGCACAAAATCCACCGGATGGACAAAACCCACCGGATGGACAAAACCCATCGAATGCACAAAACCCATCAAATTCACAAAACCCACCGGATGGACAAAACCCATCTAACGAGTAAAACCTAGGGGGTTTTACTCGGTTTTTCTAAAATTGATTTATTTTTTATCCTCTGTTATATTGAAGACTTATTCTATTGAATTATATATGTAGTCCAGCCTATAAAGATGAACCTATGGTGAAAAAAATTGTCTGGTTGCTGGCTAGATTTGACTGTATGGTCATTGATTCGTATGACAGTGACTTTAATTCGCTGTCTAAGCAAGAAAAAAAAAATTTTTTTTTTTCCGATTAAAATATGAATAAAAAGTAATCCTGCGTTAAAATAAGTTTCAAATGTGTGGTGTATTTTGTATTGTGATGTCATAAGAAACTTTTTTCAGACTTTTGCACCAATTTATTTGTATTAATTTATTAATTACACTTTAATTACCTAAATGTTAAGTTAATTCATGAAATTAAACGTAATTATTAATGCATTAAAATAAACTTTTTTTTAAAATAAGGTACTTATCCCTGCCCTCTTTTTTGAAGAAAAAAAAAGCAATAAGACATGAAAACCCAGAAAAGCCCATCGAACCTGTGGAACCATCGGGAATCGAACCTGCTACCACCATACTGATTTCTTGAAATAATATAAAGATTTAGATCACATGGAGTTAGTTTCAGAATCTAACGTGGCTACTAATTGTTGCGATTTGCCTAACCATGGTGTTTAACGTCTACTCAAAAATTCTAGCAAGCTTCCCGAAAAATTCCCACAGAATCCAGCTCATGCACAAACGGACGACCCACAAGAATTTCATCAAACATGTAAAAGGATTGGTGCTTTCATACGCCTTCGGAATGACGGTAAGCCGAAATGCAACGCGTTTGAATGATTTGTGAAAACGTTGAATTGAACAATGTGAAAACCACACTTTTGCATATTACGTGGCGAAAATCAACATGGTAAAGAAAAATAAAATTTCATTTTTGAAAAGGGAAAATTAAGCACTTTTTTTAAAAAAAAAACACCCAATAAAGAAAGCACCTTTATGAGCTTTTAAAAAACGAAAATCGAAAATAAACACTTTTTAAAAACGCTACCCATCCTGTATTATTATTAATTAAAAATTTCACAGCCATTACCACATTTGTCATTAATTTGCTTTTGATAACCAATGATCTATGGATGAACAAAACAAAAGACTTTGGATTTACTACTCAATATGAAACACAAACTTCTTTTTTTAACTACACTTCATATACAGGGGTTGAACAAAACACTTCTGTGCTCACCCACTTTTTGATCTTAGTGGATCATTTCATGAATTTAGAACTGTTTACGTTAGGTGATTTCTCATACATATCAATGCAGCTTAAAGCTTTCAAAGGTTTGAAAATCCAACAGTACAAACGAAAAAAAGGTGTTTTTGAACAACCTACGAGAAAAATTTATAGCAATAGGTTAATAACTTTATAACAGTTATTTCAGTTATTCGATGCAATAAGTACGCAAAATTTCGTTAACTTAAATTAAAAGTTTATGAGATATGGACAATTTATAAGAAATTAATTTTTTCGTCTTGCGTTTTTTTTACGATAACTTTAAAAACATTCAATAAAATTAAATAAAACTAGGAGGCTTCGCCCCCTGCTCGCTGGCGCTCTCCAACCATCACGTAACTCTAATGCCCATTACCTCACAAAAAGCAGAGCTCCAATGTCCAGTTAAATTTCTGTTTGGTGGTTTCGAAACCAGGGTGGTTGTAAGTGGTTTTAAGACCGTATAATTTCGCGTTCATAATTTTTTGTTTGTAACCATACTAGTTATAAGCGATTTCAAAACTGTAAAGATAAAAAATGCTGTCTGCCGCAAATTTTACGGATAATTGGATGAACAGTTTACTGCCATTATTTTACCATAATTTTAGAAGGAAAATTCTAATATTGTGTGCTTTACCGTATGGGATCACATTCATAAATCGTATCACGCTTAGAAGAGAAAGAAGGAGTTCACGGTATAGGGACAGTTTGTGACAAGGTCGTGGGACAGGATAATAAGAAATGTGACAACACACATTTTGAAATCGGTACATTACATATTTTCGTTATTTATATTTTTCATCATTACCCTCAACAAGCTACACAATCATTACTATTGCTATGCTCGCAAATGTTACTAAAACGCATAGTTGCAGTTTAAAAATAGAATTTGAAATGTGATTTAGGATAAAGGGTGCAGTTTCTTAACTACAAGTATTATTAGTGTAATCTAGAGTTACATGTAGCGAGGGAGGCATGATGAAATGTGGTACTTTGTGACAAAGAGAAGTGGGTAAAAAATATCGAAAAAAGTGTAACATAATTTGTGGATGCCTCTGTCTTTAAACCTAGTTAATCAAATCAAAATATTTTTCCAATCTCGTATTATCTAGTAAGGACTTAACATTTAAGAAAAGAAATTATTGCTAATTACACACAAAAAGTAATTTTTAATTATTTCTTTATTTAGTTAAATAATGATCGAATAAACTTCCTCAATACATATCAACTTTTTTTGTTTTAAAACATATTTCATTTTAAAAATTTGATGTGAGTGAAGAATTTTGACCAGACTAGAAAGAAACTTTATTATGTGATTGCATGGATGATCTTCGAAAACTTATAGTAATGACTGAGAAGAAGACATCTACAAACTTTTCGCATGTAAAAACCGTCTGAAAATAACGAAGGAGCTTAAAGGAGACCAGGATCTGGATGATCTCTCATCTAAGCATAGAATATCATGTTTAGCACAAAAAAGGGATCATCGGATATCTGAACATTTTGCAAAAGTTCCTTACCCACTATGGAAACACTTTACCCTAAAAATTTTATGTTACACTGAAAAAAGAAGGGGAAAAAAAGCTAGATTTTACGTTTAAGACAAACCACAAAATGGCTGAATGATAATGGTATACTTTAAAGTGGCCTGTTTCATCCTCTTATATCAAGTCTGGGCGGTAGGACATAGGGCCCATGTCCGAGAGTTTGTGGGTTCGAACCCGAAGACTCCTCGTGTAGTAAAGTGACTGATGCACGTTAAATCTTTCCATTCGCGAAAGTCTTCCTTGTTCCCATAACAAATCAAAACCTCTGGGGGTACTGGATTGGAGACCTATCCTTCTCTGATTCAGGTCAAAATTACGATATGTGGATGAATGAATGGATGTATGAATGGGTCCGCCTTATAAACAGGTGTGACGTATGATGTGGCGAAGTCGAATTCTCGGCCATAGATGGCGTCACTGAAAAACAAGAATCGCACACTCTGCCTTAAATTTGCTCTGTTTCACCAAGAAGGCTTACCCGTATGGCAAATCGCATTAGAACCAACCAACCAACAGTTTGTGGAAATAATAAAAAAATTAACTTAAAAAAAAACAAAACAGTTAAAGAATTCTAGAAAGCTTTGGTAAAAATAGAGAACGAAATAACTTTCGAGCTTAAAGAAGTGTTTCGTTGAATCTATACCAAGACGAAAATTAAATATATAAATAAATAAAAGTTACTACTAATTATTTATCTACATAAAGAAAAGGCATCTTGAAATGCATCTTAATTTCTGATTTCTATTTTTATTTACTAAAATAATGCATTTTTTGAGAAGTTTAAATTTTTTTTACTCCTTTGTTTCAACTTCAAACGGCAAAATTTACCATGAATCTATCTGATAGTTATTGAGAAATAAACCATAAAAAAATATAGTTGTTTGGAAATTTAATTTCTTAGGAATGAAAGGGTTAATACATCGCTTAACTTCTGATTGTTTTCAATTTCCTTCACTTTAAACGTCATCAAAATTTTTTAATCTACTTATTTCATCCGAAAAATATGAAATATCCCTAAAAGAAAAAACAAACAGTTCCACCTCGTTTATGATTGATCCAAAGACGAAATCTCTAAAGCAGTGTTCCCCAACCTATTTATCACCGCGGACCTGTCAACGTTTAATAATTTTACCACGGCCCGCTGGGGGGAGGGGCGTTGATTGTTTACATTTTAGATTATTTTAATTTATTAATTTAAATTTAACTGTATTTAAGCATGCCATCACAATAAAATACAGTTGTACCAAAATATAAATATAAGTTTCATATAAGTTTCCTTGCAATGAAGTATATAAGTAAGTGTATATAAGTTTCCTTGCAATGAGACGGTTCCATCTGGGGGGTAATCGGAGACAAACCTTCGGGGGATCACTTTTTTTAAATAAATAAAATTTTAATGGAGCACAGATAATTTTAATTTGGGGTATAAACCTAGGAATTTAAATTCAGTTTCAATGGAATGGGCTGTCCGGTACCACTTGATCCACGGGAACACTGCTCTAAAGGACCATTAATAATCAGCGTGCACTTTCCGTGCGTGTCATTGCAACATGGGGGGTGTATAAATCAGTTAGTCAATGAAATACCTATTACATCTACAGACTGCATGATTTTTTTTATTTATTGACATTTCTGATATAAATAAATTCGACTCTGATTTCGGTAAAGTAAGGTGCCGAGCTCTAAAATCGAGTATAACATTTGTTCTCGTTACTAAAAAAAAAAGATACTGTTTTTAATTCCAAAAAGATGTTGCATTTAACTTATTTCATTTTAAAACAAAAAATAAGTATATAAATAAAGTTATAAACCTTTACTTCTTTTTTGAAATATACCTTTATTTTAATGAACAAAGCTGGTAGATCTAACAGCAAGGTTTTGATATTTTATTAAACATTTCACATTATTTGCATGAAAACAAAGTACGAAATGAACAAATATGTTCAGTATAAAAAATTAATATAAGAAAAGACTCTTCGTTTGGTAATTGTTTACACTCCGTTTGAGAAGACAGAGGAACACTTTAAAGAACGATATCTTGATGAGGTGCTAACCATTGCAGAGAGTTAAGAAAAATCCTCTATTTCGTCGTGGTTTCTAAAATGCTTTTGCCACGCATTTTGTATTCTTCACAACAGTAGACTGAAAGAAAAAGTAAAAGAACAGTTTTTCATATGTATATAAATCATTCTTAATCAAACGAAACATAAGATTCGATTACGTGTTTTTTTACGTTGGATATAATTTAAAGAACAAAACATTCTAACACAAATTTTGAATATATATATATATACATCGATACNTAACGGACATGATCAGTTTTTTCATGGAATAACTAGATATTCTATGAAATAACTGCCTTACATACTTTAACGGTAACATACATACGAATAACAGAGCACGGACGACTCTGTTATCACAGACTCTTTGAGCGAGTTGTTTTTTTCCCTGCCTTTAACAAAATCGGTGTTTTGAAATATACTAAGTGAGGATTGCACAATTTAATTACGTTGCTTATTTTGTGTTAAAACGAATTAACGAATCAACTATATATTTCGAGTTTAATTTTAATACTCTTTTTCTTTCAGTGGGATTTAGTGTGCGACCGGGAGTGGTTGATTTCTGTTTCAAAAACTGTTTACATGGTTGCATTTTTAATTGCAGCAACATTATGTGGTCAGCTATCAGACAAGTAAGTCAACTTACATTTACTATATTATATCCGATCCGTGTAAATATTGTATCCATGTGAACAAATCCATATAATACTGTTGAAGAAAATATGTTTACATATTCTCAGATCAGTACAAATCCGTCTGACTTGATAGTTAGTAAATGAGAAACAACTGTTAAACAAAGTGTGGTTTGTCTGTGATTCTTTTCAAAACATAATTATTTATATTCTTGATATTTTTTCTCTTTCCAAAAAGCACATTTCAGACATTACAAACCACTTTTAGATTGATTTTTCATGGTCTCTTACAAAAAAACAAACAAACTATTACCATGTACAGGGGATTCTATAATCACCTCCCTTAATGTATAATTTTAGAATTCTTGTGAAAAATAAAGTCAAAAAAGCTCATGCATTAAAGGTTGGAAAATAATTTTTAATGAATCATAAACAGAAACGATAAATAATTCTGTGGAATCACTTTAGTGAAGAAGGTAGCATTGAAATATATGTCTCATGATCTTTCCTTAGTAAGGTTTCTTTATGTTTTGATAACATGCTAAATATCAATATAAGGCTTCTTACACATATGTTTTTTTTATTTAATTTCAACAAGCAATTTAAATACATTTATTAAAGGCAATCGTAATGGCAAACTGTGTTTATGATTTGAAAAAATTTTAATTGTACTAGAAGTTTCAGTTTTTTTTTCGATATTCTCTATCTTACAAAGTCAGTTCAATTTTTTGAAAACCAGGCACTTTTCCAGCGTAAGTGTATCAAATCCCTTAAAGTAGTGATGATAGAAAAAACTATTTTCATACATTTGAAAATAATTTCAAATGTAATAAAAAATAAATTTCAATAATTTTTAAGCTCCAAGCAAACCAAATGTGTAGGTCTGTTTTACTCTAACTAAACAATCAAGATTAATACGCTTTAATTATTATATTGGGCCGGGATAGCCTGGTCGGTAGGGCGCTGGACCCATGTCCGAGAGTTCGTGGGTTCGAACCCGGCCGGTCGAAGACTCCCCGTGTAGTTTGTGACTGATGTACGTTAAAATTCTGTCGAATCTCAAAGTCCTCCATGTTCCCATAACAAATCAATACCTCTGGGGATACTGGATTGGAGATCTATCGTTCTCTCTATCGGATGGACAAAACCCACCGGATGCACAAAACCCATCGGATGGACAAATCCCATCGAATGCACAAAACCCATCGGATGCACAAAACCCATCGAATGCACAAAACCTATCGGATGGACAAAACCTATCGGATGGACAAAACCCACCGGATGCACAAAACCCATCGGATGGACAAATCCCATCGGATGCACAAAACCCATCGGATGGACAAATCCCATCGAATGCACAAAACCCACCGGATGGACAGAACCCACCGGATGGACAAAACCCACCGGATGGACAAAACCCATCGGATGCACAAAACCCATCGGATGCACAAAACCCATCGAATGCACAAAACCTATCGGATGGACAAAACCCATCTATCCAGTAAAATCCAGGCTGGTTTTACTCGGTTTTTCAAAAATTGATTTATTTTTTATCCTCTGTTATATTGAAGACTTATTCTGTTGAATTATGTATGTAGTCTAGCCTAAACAAATGAACCTATGGTGAAAAACGGGAGAGTCACCTTGCTGGCTAGATTTGACTGTATGGCCATTGATTCGTATGACAGTGCCTTTAATTCGCTTTCTACGCAAAAAAAAAAAAAATTTCCTTTAAAATTTTTTAAGATTAAAATATAAATAAAAAGTAATCCTATGTCAAAATAAGTTTCAAATGTGTGATGTATTTTGTTTTGTGATGCCAGAAGCAACTTAATAAATATCAACAAATTCAAAAATATCAATAAAAAAATGTGACATAATGTGTGGATGTCCCCTGCCTTTAAACTTATTAAAGCAAATCTAAATATTTTTCCAATCTCGTATTATCTAGTAAGGACTTAACATTTAAGAAAAGAAGTTATTGCTAATTACACACAAAAAGTAATTTTTAATTATTTCTTTATTTAGTTAAATAATGATCGAATAAACTTAAATTGTCTGAGATATAAAAAGACAGTATGGAGCAAAAAAATTAAAAATTTTCAATTTTTATATTTTTGTGATTCCTGTTCTCATTTTATTTAGTATCAAAAAGATGTTATAATGGAAAATAACATCTTTAATATTTAAAATGTTATATATAAATTAAAGCTATATATAATAATAACTTGCTAAATATAAACTACTAAACATTACTCTTCTATACAAATCAACTTTTTTGTTTAAAAATATATTTCACTGCAAAAATTTGATGTGACTGAAGAATTTTGACCAGACTAGAAAGAAACTTTATTATGTGTTTGCATGGATGATCTTCGAAATGACTGAGAAGAAGACATCTACAAATGTTTCGCATGTAAAAACCGTCTAAAAATAACGAAGGAGCTTAAAGGAGACCAGGATCTGGATGAACTCTCATCTAAGCATAGAATATCATGTTTAACACGAAAAAAGGATCATCGGATATCTGAACATTTTGCAAAGTTCCTTACCCACTATGGAAACACTTTACCCTGACAATTTTCTGTTACACATAAAAAAAGAAGGAAAAAAAAAAGCTAGATTTTACGTTTAAGACAAACCACAAAATGGCTGGATGATAATGGTATACTTTAAAATGGCCTGTTTCATCCTCTTATATCAAGCCTGGTCGGTAGGGCACTGGCCCCAAGTCCGAGAGTTCGTGGGTTCGAACCCGAAGTCTCCCCGTGTAGTAAAGTGACTGATGCGCGTTAAATCTGTCGAGTCGCGAAAGTCCTCCTTGTTCCCAAAACAAATCAATACCTCTGGGGATACTGGATTGGAGATCTATCGTTCTCTGATTCAGGTCAAAATTACGATCTGTGGATGAATGAATGGGTCCGCCTTATAAACAGGTGTGAAATATGAAGTGGCGAAGTCGAATTCTTGGCCATAAATGGCGCCACTGAAAAACAAGAATCGCACACTCTGCCTTAAATTTGCTCGGTTTCACCAAGCAGGCTTGCCATTGTGGCAATAGAACCAACCAACAGAGTTTGCGAGAATAATAAAAAATTAACTTGGAAAAAAAAAAGAAAACAGTTAAAGAATTATAGAAAGCTTTGGTAAAAATATGGAACGAAATAACTTTCGAGCTTAAAGAAGTCCTGCGTTGAATCTATATCAAGACAAAAATTAAATATATAAATAAATAAAAATTACTACTAATTTATCTACATAAAGATAAGGCATCTTGAAATGCATCTTAATTTCTGATTTCTGTTTTTATTTACTTAAATAATGCATTTTTTGAAGAGTTTAAATTTTTTTGCTCCTTTGTTTCAACTTCAAATGGCAAAATTTACCATGAATCTATCTGATAGTTATGGAGAAATAAGCCATAAAAAATATAGTTGTTTGGAAATTTAATTTCTTACGAATGAAAGGGGATATGGGACCAATCATTATAACCGATAAGACCAAATACATGCCTGGAACTTGCAAAATTAAATTCTAGTGAATCCTATCTGGAGATTGGCTCCCACAGGTTTCAGACTGTTCAGAATTTTACTTACCTTGGTTCAATAGTTACTCAATAACATAGACAATGAGATTCGGAATCGTCTAATTTGTTCAAATAAAGCTTTTTATGTTTTAAAACGTTTTTTCAAATCCTCTCTCTTATCAAAAAATACAAAACTTTTACTCTATAAAACATTAATTAGGTCAATACTTACCTATGGCTCTGAGACCTGGAACCTAACTCAAGCTAGTGGAAATAAAATTGCCATTTTTGAGAGAAAAGTTTTGAGGGCCATCCTTGGTGGGATAAAAATAAATAATTCCTGGAGAAGACGATATAATACTGAACTGTATAAAATCTACAGAGAACCAGATATTGTGAAATTCATAAAAATAAATCGAATGTACTGGGCAGCTCACATTTTCAGAAGGAATGATGACTCAAATTTAAAGAAAATCCTATCACACAAACCCCTAACGAACAGGAAAAGAGGTAGATCCAGGCTGAGATGGCTGGATTTAGTTGAGACTGATTTCCTTACTTTAAAGGAGAAAAACTGGCGAACAAGTGTTAAAAGTAGAGAAAAGTGGATTCGAATTCAAAGGAAGGCACTGGCCCACCCTGGGCTGCCTAGCCAGATATAATGATGATGAGGAATGAAAGGGTTAATACATCGCTTAACTTCTGATTATTTTCAATTTCCATCACTTTAAACGTCATCAAAATTTTTTAATCCACTTATTTCATCCGAAAAGTATGAAATATCCCTAATAGAAAAAACAAACAGCTCCACCTCTTTTATCGTTGATCCAACGACGAAATCTCGAAGGGACCATTAATAATCAGCTGGTACTTTCCGTGCGTGTCATTGCAACCTGGGGGATGTATAAATCAGCCAGTTAATGA